TCTCCTCTCCTCTCCTCTCCTCTCCTCTCCTCTCCTCTCCTTCTATTCCCTCTTATCCTAACCACAAGAGATGGCATAGTTTTGAGTGGGGAAGAGGGCCTAATCCAGGAAGTGTGCAAAAATGTTTCCCAGGAAATTTTAAAATTGGGGCTATAAAAGTGAGGGCTAAACTCCCTGACCTGAACTCCATGGTCCAGGCATGGTTCAGATGCAACACTTAACTTCATATTTATTTTATAGAGGGTCTGCATTTTTCAAGTCTAAGGGCAGCCTTTATTTACTTTTTTATGTCATGGAAGTGTAACAGTGATGCTTTGTGACTATTGTTAACTAGCATGCTTTGTGGGAGTGTGCTTTTGTGAGAGTGTCTTTTTGTGAGAACGAGTTAGTTGAGTTTTGTCAAAATTAAAAAGTCTTTAAAAGCTGGTTATTTGTGTGTTTACAGAAGCTCTGTTGGGGGTATTCAGCAAAATATTTCTCATTGGCACCCTTTATTAATACCACAAGCATGGCTCTTGACTCTCTTGGGAATGGTTGCAATTGTATCAATTCACTCTTAATAAACATTGCTAGTTTTTAACTTACTGTTTTCAAGCTTTCTTGTCATGCTTTTAAATCGCTAAAGTTTACATAATACTTTACAGAGCAACACACAAAAGTATGACTACATTTACTTCTATGCACTGGCTTTTCACAAGCTTTTATATGCCTTTTTTTACCAGCCAGCCTCACATCAAAATATGTTGGTTTAACATACGAAAGCCTGTGCATAGAATTATGCAAATACAATTAAAGTGGTCATACTTATGCTTTTTGATCTGTAATATTGAGTCACTTAAATGAAATATGCTGATGCCCATTTAAATAAATATCATCAAAACTTAAATATTTTTTGCCTTTTTATGTTACATAATTTATCACAGAGTTGCAGTTCCATTTTCTGTAGCACGTCTGGTTCTGGAAAAGTGCCCTCACAGTATGGTAACTGGAAATGGTGCCAAAGACTTTGCACAAGCACATGGGATTACCATTGAAAATCAAGACACATTACTGACATCAAAAAGCTTAAATGAAATGCAGGTAATTTTAAACATATTACTTAGATTGACAGGAATTGCATTGCATTATGGGAGAAACTAGCAAACATTGAACATACATACATACATACATAGTTTATTCAAATCGCAAATAAATTATTGACAAATAGTAAAATACAAGTAAGAGCAGAGGCTAGCAAAAAGCGATACAAATAAGACAACAAAGCACAATAATAGGCGACTTGAAAGGAAGTTATGAGGTTATCCCTATGNCAAAACATGACAAAAATGCATTATAAAGAAAGACCCTAAGCAGCGTAATTAGCGAAAAATGCTCTATAAATGAAGTATAAGTATATGAATATGTACTAAATAAAGGAAAGACAAGCTCTCCACCACCCTGAGCCCCACCCCCGCACGCGCACCCACCAGACAGATTATGACCACTTTTCATGTAAAATACTTTTCATGTAGGCAATATTTGAATCGAATCAATATGGAATTTTTTCCCAAACTTTGTCTGCACATTTTTCAGGCATATTTTCTTCTGCGTAGGCAATATTTACATATATGATTAATAATACATTTGATCAAGCTTGGTATATAACATACAACAAAACCTTCACCAGTTTAGTTTCACCTTCAGAAATTTCTTTTACATTAAAAGTGGTCAGGGATGCATACAGAATTTTTAAAAGAAGGGTGATTTTTAACGGAAATTAAATTTGAGAGATTCAAGCGATGAATGTTTTCAGTTATAAACATTTTTTTTGTTACATTTGGTGCAAAAGTGGGTTGGGAAGTGTGGTGCCTAGCCATCCCTTATCACCACTGGATCTGCCAACCATTGATAACTTAGGGTAAAACTTTTTCTTTTACAGAACTATAAAACAAAAAATGATACTATAGGTAAGTACTGATAATCATTTTGAGATAACTATTTTAATACAATTAGCTTTAAACAGGCTAAATAACATTTAAAGAAGTTTATGCTTGTTGTGAGGGGGATGGGGGTKGGGGAATAGGACATAATTTAGAAAATATATAAAGCAGACAACAGAGTATGTAGAAGACTACCTTAGTGAGGGGATGAATAGACAAAACAAGACCAAATATAATTTATTGAATATTAGCAAAAGAATACTCGGCCCATCTTCTCCTCTTAATTAAAATGCAGGGTTTAAAATAACAGCCAGACATCGGACAATGTCTGGCCAGATCTGGGTCTTGTCCAGTGAAATCCTCACCTTATCGATCATTTTGACCAGTAATGTTTAGCTGGAGATGGGGCATAACTAAGCTAAGACTAATTTGATCTGTGATCATGATGGGCAACTGATCAGCGGTTATTTTAAACCCAGAAATGGGTGACTTGATTTCTATATTATATATCTTTTTTTTTTTTCTTTTTCTTTTTCTTTATTTTTTTTTTTAATTTCTATGTTATATATCTTTTTTTAGTTTTTTTAATATAAAATGCAACTGCATATGCCTTTTCTCCAATATTGAACATGATGTGATCGTGATGTAAACGTGATAAAACAGTCTCGCTTCAGTTCAAACATCTTTTGCTCATCATGCCATATATGGTGTTGTTTGTACCAAAGCTAGACCACAATGCATCATGTTTATTGAACTCGGAAAAGGCCTATGGTATAATGATTTGAACGATTAATTTTAAACCATTTCAGGCGTTATTGTTCTTGACGATGCTGGTCATTTGGCAGCAGGTATTTAAAATAATAATGATGATGATGATGTTGATGATGATGATGTTGATGATGATGATAATGATGTTGATGATAATTTTGATGATTTTGATGATGATAATGATGATGATGATGTTGACGATGATGATAATGATGATGATGATGATGTTGATGATGGTGGTGTAGTGATGGTGGTGGTGATGATGATGGTGATGGTGATGGTGGTGTAGTGATGGTTGTGGTGATGGTGATGATGATGGTGATGGTGGTGTAGTGATGGTTGTGGTGATGGTGATGATGATGTTGGTGATGAAGATGATGCTGAAGATGATTGATAATGATGATAGTAAAAAATAGTAATATTATTATTATATAACAACAATATGTTTCTGTTCTTTTGGTTGTTCATTTATTCTGTTTATGTGTTATAACATGGTAGGTGTGAGTAGCAGTGGTATGCCATGTAAATTACCAGGTCGCGTAGGAGACTCCCCTCTTCCAGGATCTGGTCTATATGCTGACAATGAGGTAAGTATCTAAATTGCATTGGAAGGTAATAAAGGTCAAGTATATGACAATTTGTATTTCATTTTCCCCCATTTCCCTGGGAACTATATGACCCTTCAGACATCTCCAAGTTAAAACAGTTTTAAAATGCACCTAATCCCTGATACAATACTTTCAGTATTGATTCTACATAAAGTGAATAGTTGAATGGTGAAATATTTCTTCATTTGAATGTTGCATCTTTAAGTTATGAAGGTTTATACTTGCAATATGTTACGTACTGTGACGTCACCCAAGGCTTCATTAAATACAAATTTTGACTGGTTCATAAAAACAGTTTTTAAAAAGAATCATTATTATACTCAAGGTTTCCACAATGTTCATTGTAAATCTGTAAATCTCATAATGGCTCAGCGGCACATTCTTACCCTAAATGGGCAGTTACAGCTCCCATTAGTAATCTAGCTTACATTTACGTCTTAAGCAACAATATATTGTTTCTTTTAAGAATAATTAAAAATGAAAATAAAAATAACTTTTTTTTTTCAGATTGGAGCTGCAGTTGGTATGTGAAAACTCTTCTTAATGGTTCTGACTTCCCTTAGTTACCATTGCTATGTCCCACAAGCTAAGAAAACCATCTAGTATATCTCAGAAATTAAAACTCTGATCGTGGTTAATTGATTATAAATTACTGATTCAATAGTTTACTGTCTGGTGAAAAGAATAGAAAATTGCCTCGTAATCCTTGTATAGTACTCTTTGAAACAGATACTGTAGTGGTTTGTGGGACAAGATTTCAATTCAATTGGGAAAACTGCTATTGTCACCAATAGCCTTAGCCTCCTTCGCAGCCGTTCTTACGGTCGTCACGCAACGTTAAATTCCTTCCCCACAAACGTCTGCTTACTTGAGCCGAACATTCCTTTCCAATTGTTATCGATGCGACATCATGGGCCAATCAAAATTGGCCTATTGTCTTATCAAGAGCCAATCAAATCCTACGTTAGAAATTTTGCGACAACTTGAAAGGAATGCCGTGTGCTGTCAAAATTTGCTTTGGAATTATTTTGAAAGGCGACAACTACCGACAAAGAAGATAAATCGAAGAAGTGTAAATATTGATGAGTTGCGATATTACTACGACGATGTTGTTTTCCGATTCTCTGATGTTCAGAACGTCAAAACATAGTGCAGTGGCAGGGCTTGATAAATAAGCGATTTACCATAACCAGTTGGTAGATTTT